ACATTTTACTGAGAGGGATCGCACACATGTCCCATCAACATAATTGTGTTGGTGGCCTCATGACGTATAAGAAACAGGAAGGGGCGATCGGCAATAAATTCGGCCTCTCCCGAACCACCTCCACTGATAAGCACCACCTCAGTGGTTACTGATGCGTCCACTCCCTCTTCATCGAGATCTGTAAATCCTGGTCTGTTAGAAGTTTCTTATCCGTTTTGTCAATTTGCACGATTAAAGAGATGCGATATAGAGTAGAGTATTTGATTCGATATAGAGTAGAGTATTAAAGAGTAGAGTATTTGATTCAGATTAGATTTAGTGATAGATTAGTTTCGTATTCGAAACGAATATACCTAAGTAGATTCTATGCAATAACCCCAACTCGCTACGTGGCTTAACAGGGTATGTGCTGAACTGTCACTAAAACTGTCTAAGGTGGGTCACTATGGAGGTAGCAAAATCCAGCAACCTTACAACGTGTCACTTACGGATGCAGGCTTTCTGCTTGAGAGTCTGTACGGAAAGCTGCGAGAGTTGGCAGATATCGGAAAAATCAGCCATTTCCTCGTCAAATGCTGTTGGCATCCCCAGCCACTTTAGCATGGGCTGCAGATCCCAGCACTGTTCCACATGAAAGCGCGGCAGCTGCACTGTCACATGCAGCTGGTAGCATAACATCCTCATCGCATGCTGAAGCTTCTCCGCCGTTAGCGTTCTAATCAAACTGGCTAGTCCTTGGTCGGGCGATGCGCGGGTAGCTTGTTTTGATTTCCCAGGCAGCGTCTTCCCTGGTAGAATAAATATGGCACTGCAGTATCCCGTCGTAAAAGGCATTTCCAGGAACATAGCTCCATCTAGCTCCTTACTTAGATGGACCTTGTAATTAATGAATCTTTTATGCATGGTATCCACAAGAACGCTAATACCGGCTGCCGTCGTGAAAGGTTTGATCCTGGTCTTGGTGCGGTCGAACTGCTGGTCCCAACGCGCTCTTAAATGCAACGCGCTAACCAAAATGAATTTGGCATCAATATTAGGCACATCCAGTGGCGACAGGAGATCGTGCACGTTGTCTTTAGTGTGTGCTTCGATGAACTCGTTTATATAGCGGACAGCGGCGTCATCATGGTCGTCGTTGAAATCGATGTCCTGGATGACAGATTGGAACAGCTTCTCCATTTCTGCTATGTAGTTTCTGCTTAAGTAGACATTCTTGTCGAAGAATGCACCGTTTGCCATATGCAGCTCATGATTATCGTTGGGCACTACAAAACAGCCAGTTGATTCTCATGGCAATGTTGTAATGCACTACCGCATTTAGTCGGCCCTTTCCCCATAAATATTTACCAAGGTCGTTGTACTCATTTTCCGCGGTTTCGTCCAGCCGGATTTGGCGCAATGCGTGCGCGACATCGTGCGTACCGTAGTCGTCATGGAGGCCCAATACTTGCGAAATTTCCTTTTTTGTTCTACCAGTGGAACCATGATATGCCATCGAAAGAGCAACTTCCGCCGAGAAGGGTGATAAGAGGAGATTATTCGTATATTGCCGGGTCTTCACCGCATAACGAAGCATTTTCAGGCAGAAATCTAGGCGGGCAATGCTGTATTCTGGAAAGTGAGGCCGCACCTGCATTCTTCCCAAAAAATTTTAAAACGGCTTGATTAACTACTATGCCGACTCTGTAATCTGTAGCCTTCAACGGTATAAATCTTGGTGTGAATATGACTACTGTACATACGTCATATTTAACACCAAAAACATGGAGAACTACAATAATATTGTAGTTATATTGTAGTTATACTTTACTCGCTGCTAATATTGAACGTACTCGCTGCTATGTATATGATAATTATTATTATCATATACATAGCAGCGAGTACGTTCGATATTAGCAGCGAGTAAACGCTCAATGTGAAAACAGATCGATAGAGCATGGCACAGCGCCCGCAGGATGGCACATGTATGATTGTGGTATAAAGTGTAACGTGCGTAGTACGCAGTGCGCACTGCGTACTGGAGGAAAGCGTTTGCATATTGAACATATATTACAGTAGGTACTGTGTGTTCACTTGTGGACACTTGTGCGCGCTGAAACGATTTTACGCTTCTCAACAGGCAACATACAGGCACCAAAAATACTCGTATTGCCAGAGTTAAAATCTTTTGGCATGCACGCAGAACACTCGGAGGTGTTGGGTGGTCTCGCGGCTGACGCGATAAAAATTAGAGAAAAGAATTAACATAAATCGAAGGGATAGCCACTTATGAAAAGGAATGGGAGCCAGTTCCGAAATGAACCGGCATTTAGCCGATTCCGGTGTGTCCGTCAAAAGTGGGATAAGAACAACCAAAGAATATTATGAGATTGTTTAACTGATGTTCATGTGACTATGTAATTTAATTACGTACATTAGCACAACAGAACAATTCAACTATCTAAGTCTATATGATGTCTAAACAGTGAATAATTGTGGTACCAAAGCAAGACCTTACACAGTAGTAGGGGTTAAATATGGACTAATTTGAAGCTTAGCTGTATGTAGCCTGTATGTATTCACGATCAATCATATAGGTTGGCTGTTGAACATATATTACTGAACATATACACGTTGTATTATTATTAACTTATATAGGCAGACCACATAAAAAACAAGGCGTGTCATCCGTGGTTATTGGTTTTTGTTAAATGTGTTCTAACCAATCCCAGTATGAACGGTTGTCAAGTGTTGATAGCCGTTCTAGTTGGAAAGGATAGAAGATTATTAAGAGCCATGTTTCTATTGGCATGTATCCAAATGTATTCAAAAAAGATGAGCCACAGATCGGCCAGGGTAAACAAGAGGGAGGGAAAACTAAAGGAAGGGATTTTAGGTGGTCAAAAAGAGGAAGGGAAAACTAAAGGAAGGGATTTTGGGTGGTCGAAAAAGGGAGGGAATTTCCATGGTCAGAAATGAAAGCGAATTCGGGCAATCCAAAAATTTTAAGACATTGGCCGAAATGAACCTGTGCGGCCGAAGTGATCGGACGCGGTTCAGAGCGAGCAAAATTTGAGCAAAACAACTTTTCCAGCAATTCCTCCGGAAGCTGTTGTAAGCACTTTAGATATGTGGTAATCTCCCACTTTACGAAAAAATCATATCGCATGTTCTCAGCAAGTTTGAGATCGGATGCTATATGGAACGTTTTTATGTTCAAAAGTTAGTACTCCTTACAAACTACATTTAGTTCATTTTATAATTAGGCAAGCGAGCGAAGCAAGCTGTTCTTTTTTCGGGCAGACGAGCGAAGCGAGACCGCTTATCTAATTGATGACGATTGAATTAATGTAAAGTAGAGTTCTATGACCTTTGGGTCGCTGCGTGACCTTTGGGTCGCCGACGATTTTCTTTATGATTCCCATACAACGGCATGTCCCAAAACTCAGCTCACCATATTTCCTCATTTTCAAATTCATTACAATTTCCCAACTCTTAAGGGAAGGGGCCCGGTACATGGTGCCAAATGTGAGTGCATACACGAAAATTTTCACTTTTGTGTACTTCCGAAGACTTTATCGCATCGTTTTATTTCATTTTGTAGCCAAATGATTTGTATACGTTGGTGTCAAAACCGTTTCAAACTGTCATTCGCGACGACCTATTCAGCTTTAACTTTATATGGAGAGTTTTGACTATTAGAGTAGGCTTTTCAAAGATTTGGGATGTCATGAGTACTTCAGTTCGACTTAGCACGTCAAGCTGCACATACACGGTGGAACTCCTGGCGGCTACTTCGGGGACCCAGGTTCTAGGTCACCGGGAATTTCAACTCGACTTATCATGTTGAGATATACAGAAATCCTAAAGAAAATCGTCGGAGACCCAAGATCACTGAGCGACCCCTAACGTCATGGGACTCTCCGTTACAAAAACTCGAATATCATTCATTAAAAACGCAGTCTCGCTTCGCTCGTCCGCTTGATAGAAAAAAAGCTCGCTTTGCTCGCGTGCTTGATTACAAAATGTACTAAATGTAAATGTATGCTCCGATGAGCAACCATGAAAAAACATTAAGGTTAAGCAATACCAGTTTGTAAGCAAGTACAGCCCTGCTCCGCCACACGCGGGCAGTAATAAAAATCTCCTGACTTCGAATGTTGAAGTGTACCATTTATACTTTATTTTTGCATGATAGTCCTTGGTCTATAGCAACTTCCTAAAATATGTTTCTAGGCAAGAAGCGAAAGAGCAGGGAATGAGAGCAAAAGTTTTACTTTAACTGTTTTCGAAAAAATCAGGTTGCTTATCAAGAAATAACTGTGTCTGACCAATAATATTTTAAAAATCCTAGACGAATGAAGAGAGCAAATGGCAACGTAGCTTTCTATTGGTCCCTTCCCAAGTTCCGTTTAATCCTTAACATCATCTCTACAACTCTTAGTTCTCTTGGCATCCTCATTCTTCGGAAGGTACCGTTAACCATACAAGTCTATGGGATATAGATCTTGTTTTGGGTTCACCTCGAGCGCTGATAGCGCAAGGTGCTTTTGTTAACCAGTAACAGATACCTTTTGGGTGTGTCAATAATTTACAAAAAGGTCAACTCAAAAAAATCGGTTGTTGAAATTGCTATGAAGGCTAGAATAAGCATCTAAAAAATGACCGCTACCTCCTCCCCTTAAATACGGCTTGGCTCGCTACTGACACTTCAAAAGATCTTAATTTTAGTATTTCTGAATCCGCAACAAAAAGCTTACACCAGAAAAGTGCAAAGAAGAAAACGAAACGGCTCACAGAAGTATTTTCCAATTTATTTTGTGCAACTGTCCGCGTGTGGCGGAGCAGGGCTGTACAATACTTACTTTTGAATATAGAAACGTTCCATATACGGGCATATAGCATCCAATCAAGCATGTTTAGAAAATGTGACAGGATTTTTTTGTAAAGTGGAGCCATTATATCTAAAGCCACTGAATTACCACTATATCTAAAGTTCTTACAACAGCTTCCGGAGGTAGGGCTGGAAATGTTGTTTTGCTCAAATTTTGTTCGCTCTGAACTTCTTAAAATGTTTGGATTGCCCAATTTCCCTTCCTCTTCTGACCATAGAAATTCCCTGCCTTTTTTGACCAAAGAAAATCCCTCCCTTTAATTTTCCCTCCCTCTTTTTCACCCTGGCCCAACAGATCTGGAAAGAGGTTGATTTCAAAAGTAATGAAGACGCTAACAAAAACACCGGTCTGTAGTCTGTACGCAACATCCTTGCACAACGACCTCTGTATCAAAAAGCACGATACCCGAAATATTTGACTGCAAAATATCGTATATTCAGCGCGTATTAGCAGAAAATACATAATACTGGTAAACAAATTTTTTGCGAGCGGTATAACGTCCCTCTGTAAGCATTTAGAGTAGCACTTTTATTAATAAGCAACACAAATTTCTGGTAAGAAAAGGCAGCACGCGATACAATTTACAACAGCAAAACTTCATTCAAACTATCCACTCTATCCATCGTACCAAGGATGGATGCCACATTTTCGCGCTGAATCTCCAGCGATAGTCGTTGGCGCAGGAATTCACGTGATTGACGCTCTCCTGTGTGCTGCTGCAGTCTTTTGCCCAATTCCTTAACAATAGCGATAGCCGCCGGGCCCCAAGGGCCCATCGTCTCAAATGCGATAGAGGAGAAGATGTAACGCCCTTCCAGATACGAGTACAAACGAGACTTTCTCTCTTCCGCTTGTGCTGCGGCAGCACCGGCTGTAACCGACGTGGACCGGATATGGGAGAGGGCCATTGTGTCAACACACGTCACATCCCAAGCAAGACACGTTCCTCTCTTCCAAGCGAATGTCGTGCATCCGTCAGGTCGTCGATTTGAAGTAGAGGACGTATCGCGCGGTTCCAGCCTAGCGGGTACGCCGGCAGAAACACAAGCCCGACATACAATATTTTTTAATCTTCCGTGTCGCGCATGCCTCCCGTCCGAGTAGCTGCACGATAAGCCGTGATGTCCCAGCTTGTCCACCTGCTTCTGACATTTAGTGCAATTATGTGGCTCGCAAATGTCCGCCCCAAGACGCAGACCGATTGAGATTTTAATCGTCTCATCATCGAGGAGATTGCCGATGTGTGCTGAAGGGAGCGCATTCAGCCAAATACCGGCTTCGGGACGGAACTGTGCAAGAAAGCGGGCTGCGTTAATGCAGTCGCCTCGGAACAAGTCCAATAAAACAGAAGCGGACACATTACAGAGCGGTAAGTCCCAGGTCTTTTGAAGCTTTCTGAAGCCAACTTCTCGTAATTCCGTTTGACGGACTTTGGCTTTCCACAACTCTAGCGCAACAGAAGGGGTAACTACCGGAAGGTGAGGAAGCAATGACCATAACAAATCGGTTGCGGAGTGAATCAAAGCCAAATAGGCTGGAAGTTATAATTCCTCCGCCCGACGTGTGCCAGTACCTCCACGACTGACCGGAAGAGTTGCTTGTCGCCAGCATGGGTAGTCATCGTGGTTGACCCAAACGTTACTGAGTTCTTGGAAACATAAGCGCAGAGTCTCGGCAATTTGATAGAGCAAATTCGGATGTTTCCAGGCGTTGCAACAACTCAGCACAAATTATCTTTGGAGCGCCCAGACAAAGTTTAAGCAGATATAGTGCATGGTGGCGAGGAAGGAGTTGTAAGCGTTCACAGGCTGTTTTTTAAGCACTTGATTTCTCTAAGAGTGTGTGACCAATCGCGTCATCGAGAACCGGGGCGCCTAGGAGGGTTAAAGTAGAGCTAGACATGACACGGAGCTGTGGGTGATGGGAAACGAATTCATCAACCACCTCCTGTC